CCAGTCCACTTCCTACAGTCATGCCCGTTAACAAAAGCCACGATTATTTTAGGAAATGTACGGGCCACTACAGGAGCTCCCAAATTCATCCGACTAGAAACGTTTCTACTCTGTTTTTTTTTTTTTTCCGCGGCCCATAGCTGGGCCAAGTACTGGTGGTTTAACTTAGTTTCTTTGCTCTCATTTCTTCTTGTTTTAGTTTCTTTGCTCTCATTTCTTCTTGTTTTTAATTCTTTCCTCTTTGTCCTCTTTTAACTTAGCTTCTTTGTTGATCTTCTTTTTTTTTTTTTTGGTTCCCACTTTTTCCTCTTCCAACTTATTTTCTTCGCTCTCGTTTTTTACTTTCTTTCTGGCTCCCTTCCGTAGGGCGCAGCCTTTTCCCCACGTCTGAATGATTGAGCCCTGAGCCAGAACTGCTTGACACACACACACCTAACTTTTCCTTCACCTAAAACGGAAACGACACTTGCACAGTGGAAGCCAGGGCCAGCGAAAGAGTCAGCCGAAAAAATAATATCAAGAACAAATACATGGAATAATAATAATAATAATAATAATAATGAAATAATAATAATAATAATAATAATAATAATAATAATAATAATAATAATGGATAAAAATAAGAATAATACTTTATGGGCCTCGCTCCACTACATAACACTATATAAGCATTCGGACGCTTCCTAGACCGAATACATTCAAAATGTATGGACTCGCCCAAATGCACCTGGTCGGGAAGGCCTAAAATGGAAGGTTATGGATGGATTACGTATCAATAGGACTTTGCTGTTTCCTAATAAGGCTCATCCTGACTTCTGAGATAACCGTGGTTATTCTAGAGCAACTACGTGCAGCATATGACGACTTCTGGAAGGGATGTATTTATAGCATAAACTTGGTCACGTTCTTAGCAGGAAATTAAGCAGGAAATTAAGCAGGAAATTAAGCAGGAAATTAAGCATGAGCGTGCAGGGATGATGCACCGACGACCGAAAGAGAAGAAACGGAGTGGGACAGTTCCACTTTCCCTCAACTTTTTCCTCACTACGATAGTGGGAGGAAACGTAGGAGAGAAAGGGGGGGGGGGGACTCGCTACCCAGGCAAAGTGCCAGGAGTGAAAAGTGGGAGTCCCATTTTGGAGTGAAAGAAAGTGGGACGGTGCCAATTCCGAAAAAAAAGTGGGACAATCCCAACCTGTAGAGAAAATGGGAAATTTTGGAGTCACAGAAAAGTGGGACGGTGCCAATTCAGAGGGAGAGTGGGACAATCCCAATTTAGAGGGAAAAGTGGGAGGGGAGGGAAGTGGGAGGGAAAGTAGGACAGTCCCATTTTGGAGTGAAATGGGGACAGTCCCAATTCCGAGGGAAAGTGGGACAATCCCAACCTGGAGGGAAAGTGGGAGGGAGGGAAATCTACGAATGAAGGCAGGACAGTCCCAATTAGGAGGGATAGTGGGACAATCCCAATTTAGAGGGAAAAGTGGGAGGGGAGGGAAGTGGGAGGGGAAATAGGAAATAGGACAGTCCAATTTTGGAGTGAGAGTGGGACAGTCCCAGTTCCGAGGGAAAGTGGGACAGTCCCAACCTGGAGGGAAAGTGGGACACTCCCAACCTGGAGGGAAAGTGGGAGGGAGGGAAATTTAGGAGTGAAGGCAGGACAGTCCCAATTCGGAGGCAAAGTGGGGCAATCCCAATTTAGAGGGAAAAGTGGGAGGGGAGGGAAGTGGGAGGGGACATAGGAAATAGGACAGTCCCATTTTGGAGTGAGAGTGGGACAGTCCCAGTTCCGAGGGAAAGTGGGTCAACCCCAGTTCCGAGGGAAAGTGGGACAATCCCAACCTGGAGGGAAAGTGGGACAATCCCAACCTGGAGGGAAAGTGGGACAATCCCAACCTGGAGGGAAAGTGGGAGTGAAAGTGAGAGGGAAAGTAAGACAGCCCCCAATCCAAATGGGTGCCGAGGCCGTCATGTCATCATATCATAGGGGTCCCGACACGGGTTGGATTGGCTACGCCAGGGGGTCTGCATCGCAGATGAAACACTCAGAGAGGGGTATCGTTTTTCAAGGGGGGGGGAGGGGGAGGAAGAGAGGGAAGCAGGTCTTTGTTGTGAAGAAGCCACGTGGTCCGCAAATCAGGACTGACATGAGATTTCATCAAGACGGACGAGGCCTTCAGTCATAACGTCATCGCTACACATCATCGTCTCCGTGTTCAGAAGCGGCAATTAGCGCAAGTGTACCGGCTACCGTCTTCCCCCGAACAGAGCGCAGAGGCTGCTTTCTATTGGAATACAACGTGAATGCGTTCTATTCGAACAGCCGGAACTTTTGAATACAACGCAGATGCGTTCTATTCGGAACAGCCGAAGCATTTGAAAACAACGCACATGCATTCAAATCGAATCATCGATTTTAAGGGGTGGGGGGGGGGCGGGGCAGCTCGAATACAACGCATATGCGTTATGTTCGGGTGAAGACGGTAGGCCTACTAGGTTTGTGCGTGCATATGAAAAAAAAAAAAATTTTAAAAATAGTAGATTTCGCCAAAAGCTACATGTATGCATAGATTGTATAAATTTTATTTAATTTAAATTATATATAAAAAACAATCATCTAATCATACCGAAATCTATATCTATCTAGGCTACCAGAGTGGCCCGGGACCACATGCCGGGCAAAAAAAAAAAAAAAAAAATCTATTCTTTTTTTCATTTTAAATTTGGTAAAGAATTACGATGTGACCCTGAGGCAAAAGTTGTTCAGTATATTTTTCTGCATGACATAGTTTTTTTTCGGATTTTTTTGACTCTTTTTTTCTGGGACCTTCCCTGGTCCTTGCACGGCTGGGCCGCCCGGGAAAACAAGGCGACCCGGGCGGCCCGGCTGGTAGCCTAGATATATCTCTATAAATCCCATCTATATCTATATCCATATCGAAATCCATATCTATACCTATATCCATACCTATATAAACGTATATATCGTCACAAACAGAACTGCCCGGTAAACCGTAGGCAGAGAGAGAGAAGAGGACAACAAACGAGGGGCTGTGACAAACTGTTTATATAAACGTATATATTGTCACAGGATATCAGAGCGCAAAAGCGAAAAAAAATATTAAAAAAAACAAAATCAGAAAAGTGAAATCATTTTTTATCTTCTTCCTTAAACTCCCCCTGTTCAAAACCTCTTGCGTACAAGGCCGCCCACGTGGATGTAGGTTGAGAGGCGGCTGCCCCCAACCCCGTGTGTCATATTGACCCACTATGCTTATATATTGTCACATGATATCAATGTGCACATGCATGCAAATGATATATTGCTACACAAGGCTACATGTATATGCATAGATTGCATACATTTTCTCTACATTCTATGCAAATCTTTATTTATATTAATCCATACCTATATCTATATCCATACCTCTATACCATTATATATTTCTTATCATACATATATCCATACTTATATATCTTTATCCATACCTCTATACCATTATATATATTCTTATCATACATATATCCATACTTATATATATCACTATCCATGCACATACATTCCCATATCAGCCTTCTAGTCACGATTCATCGGATCGTTCTTTGTCATTAATACATTCTGTACGACGCACATGCGTTCGTGGCTTCAGAAACAAAAACACAGAGAGAGAAGGGAGAGAGAAGGGAGAGAGAAGGGAGAGAGAAGGCAGAGAGAGTAGGCAAATAATAAACAGCAACTGCCCCCGCCCACAGAATGTTTTGTTTATTATTCATCGGACTGTTTTTTTCTTTGTTCTTTTAATCACGAGTACATGTATGTGTGTACATACACAACGAGCCGTCCAGTAAACCATAATAACCAGAAAGGCTGACAGAGAGCCCTCTCTCTCTCCCCCGTTCCTGGTCACCCCTCACAATCCCCCCCACAAGGCGCGCCCAACCCACCCTCGACGATGAAAGCCATAATCTGCCTTGGTCGAAAAGAGCAACCTCTAATATTCCATATTTTTTTATATTAATAACATCAGAAAAGAAAATACTACTCCGTAATACTGTGTCACATACTACATATAGCATCACATACTCTACGCACATCTTATATTATGACGCCACATAAGATAAGATACCAACCAGAAAATCACTGCGCGAAACAAAGAAAGACCACAGCATTTAAAAAAGAAAAAAAGACGCCGTCCAGGAACAAAGGGGAAAACGCAACATCCGCCACGTTCTCTTATTTTATTTTACTCTTTCCTTCTTCTTCCCGTGCCTCCCTCCCTCCCTCCCTCCTCCCCCCTCCCCCCCCCCAAGCCCTATTGTCTTATGCATGTTTGTACACATTGCGACACGTCAGAAAAGCCCAAGGCCGACAAAAGGTAAGGAAAGGACGGGAAGGAACGCCAAATGAGAAAGGATGGGGGACGCGGCAGGGAAAGGAGGGAGGGAGGGAAAGAAGGGAGGGAGGGAGGGAGGGAAGAAGGAGGGAGGGAGAGAGACAGAGGGAGGAAGGAGGGAGGGACAGAGACAAAGGGGGAAGGAAGGAGGGAGGGAGAGAGACAGAGGGAGGAAGGGAGGAAAGGAGGAAAGGGAGGAATGAGAGGAATGGGAGGAATGGGAGGAAGGGAGGAAAGGGAATGGGAGGAAGGGAAGGGAACTGCGCAACCACATGCTTTCTACAGTCTCAGTTCGTTTCCATTCTTCGCATTTCTTCGCATTTCTTTTCGGTTCTTTTGTCCTGTTCAGTTGTTATGTTTGTACGCAGTGTGCCACCTAGAAAAGACAAGGACGGCAACAGAAAAGGATGGGGAGGGAGGGGGAGGGGAGAAGGGGGGAAGGAGCGAGTCAGAGACGAAAACGAGAGAGGCAAGGCGGTGGGAGATTGGTGTGGGCGGGGGCGGGAGGATTGTTGTGACACGTTTTTGGTCCGATTCGCGCTCGCCCAGGACAAGCCAAACAGATGAGAGAGGAAGGAAGGAAGATGAGCAAATGAGCATATCACTCACACGTCCTTGACAGAGAAAGTTAGACCCGAAAGCGGAAGAGGCGCCATTGGCGGGAGAGGAGGCGGCGGCGGCTCGATCTCGAACTCTTCTAGGAAGCCAGGAGGGCCCTTCCCTTCCTCATCCTCCTCGCGCTTTCGTCTCCGCGAGATGAAGAAAGACACAGCCACTCCAATTGCCAAAATACCCCACACATTGGCCATGACCTTGCGGTCCGAAAGATACGCCATGGATTCAATTCAAAAATTCAAACACAAGTCGATATAGATTTTTTCGACAAAATGAGACAGTAATAATAGATGATCGGATCACAAAAAGCAAAAGGCGACAAAACAGGAAGAGACCGGACGGCAAGAGAGACGAAGAAACGGAGAGGAATAGACAAAAGGGGAGAGACACGTGCGCGCGTGTCTGTGTGGGAGTACGGCGGCTTGGGGGGCGCGGGGGGGTGGGTTGGGGGGGGGGGGGGGGGGGGAGGGGGGGGGGGGGTGGGGGGGGGGGGGGGGGGGAGAGGGGGAGGGGGAGGGGGAGGGGGAGGGGGAGGGGGAGGGGAAGATAGACAAAAAGACAGAAAAGCGATGATCGCCCGCCGAGTCACGTGCTCAGCGCGCAACGGCCTCCAGATCCACCATAGCTTCTTCTTCCGGTCTCTACATCCCAATTCTTTCTCAGAACAAGCCGCCACCCCTTCTCCCTTCTTCTTCTTGTTATGGCGATTGGCAGATCGAAGCCTGCCGGGATCATCTACTAGTCTACCACCCCTCCCTTCGCTCTTCCTCCTCCTCCTCCTCCTCCCTCAATCTCGTTCTCGCCCGCCCTCCTTCCCCTCCTCCGTCCTTGCTCTCCCCCTGCCTCCTCTACCCGTAGCCCCTCTCTTTCCTCTGGCCACTCCACCCTTCTGTGGAGATCCCAACCCCCCCGGGCCCGCCGCGCATCCCCGCGCCTTCCCGCGCCTTTCCCGCGCCTTTCCCTCGAAACGCTTTTGCCGTCGCTTCTCGTGCAGCCTTTCCCTCTCCCCGCCCTACGTGCAATTTCCCAACCCCCTCCCCCCCTACGAATGTCCGTCCGTCATCCCCCCCCCCCCCCCCCCAACGCCTCCTCTTTCCCCGCTCTGTTCGTTTCGTTAATCTCACCATGGGGAGCACAGAGCTCCACGACCGTATTCGAAGAGTGCCGCGACCGGTAGCCCACCCGCCTTCGAAGAGTGTGGAGATTCGGCCGGCCGCGCCCTCGAGCCTTGTGCCCTGGCGCAACTGCCCCAGCGCCTGAATCTGGACGTGAGTGTATAGAATAGACGTGCAGAAAATCGCGATTGATCTGTTATTCTGCATCTATGAGGACTACACGCATCAGATTTGGGGCATGCTCACACTACCGTAGCAGTTTCAGGAATGTATCTGAATGCAATTACGGCCGAAACTGAATGCACCTGACAGCAGTAACGGCCAGGAATGCAGTCGAAAAAGTCCTAGCCTGAGTATCCCTCATCCCTCAGGCTCTTTATCCAATCCTCTTGGCTACTACCGTCGTCCGCCGGGGGGGTTGGTCCCACTTGCACGAAATAAGAGATACTGACCGTAGATAGCAAAGATCAACGGCCGAAATCTCCTAATTTGCGCAAGTGGGACCTTGCCCCCGAGCAAAACGCACCCTTATTTCGGCTGTACCGCACCTGCAATATTGCTTGTTTACATTTTTACATTCAATTTCAGGGTGCGTTATGTTCGGGGGACGACGGGTAGTAGTGGCATTTGGCCCCAAGTGTACCCTCCTCCATCGCACGCGGTAGTCCTATCTGCGGTAACTCTCAGTCAACGGCTGTCAAAAAAGTGTGACCAGCCAGTCTTGCGAACAAGGAGCAGGAGCAGGGTAACTACATGGGGCTCTCCCCTCGAGATTCCGGCAGATTGGGAGATTCCATATTGACTTACCGTGAGGGCACGGGTGCGCAGCCCGTAGTTTGTTTGTTGATATTGTTGTGGACGTGTGTGTGTGTGTGTGTGTGTGTTTGTTACAGATAATCCCACGACGAACTCGTCATGCACTCCACCATTACGGTGATACGATCCGGTCATGTCCCAATCATACCGTTTCCAACAGCCACCAAGCGAGATGTCCCCCCAACAATACAGAAATGGCGAAGCGATTGCATCCATGGGTATCGATTCCACATTCATTCCATTAAAATATAAAAAAACTTGAATAAGTATACAAATCAAAATCAAATAGTAAAGTGGGCAAAGGGAGAATAGTGTTCGTACACATATTGGATGTGATAGGCAAGGTCGCGAGTAGAAATCATCAGTCATCTAAGAGATGGGAAATGATGGTTGCTTGTTACCTCACCTAACATTGGGGATCAAAAAGGGATGATGCGAAAAGACTAAGAGGAGAGTAGATAGAGATACGAGAGCAAAATCGAGTATTGGTGATACAAATCATAGAAAATATAGTCCCTAATGAAAACAATCGTTTGCCAACATCAGGGTATCCCGTATAGAATCATAATTATGAGAAAACAATAAAGAATGAACTAGAGTATCTGCAACAAAAATTAATTAATGAAGCCAAGCCAAGCCAGCGAGCTGCAAAGTCCGACATGGCAGAACGTTTGGGAGAAAGCAAGCGGGGGCCCGGTTTGCACTTCAAGGGATGATCCGCGCCGCAGGAGGGGTGTGACTCCCCTAAAAGCTTTTTCGTCGTTGTCACTCAACCGGCTCATCAGAGGGGTTACTTTCCTGCAAAAAGCACATCCATTACACAGACGGTCATTCCCCATACAACCACAGAGAGAGGAGATCCAAGGACCATATACCGCTTCTTCCGCCTCGATTTCCTCCTCAGGCTCCAGCGTTATCGGTAAGTCCTCCTCCGCTCCGGTCGTGAAGTCCCAATCCGCCATAGCTGGACAGTCAACTTGCTCTCCATAGAAGGAATTACAACCAATCGTATACAAAACAGACTAGCAGTGTACATGCTATAACTGGTAAAAATTCACGTATATATGGAGATGAAATCAACAGAAAAAGAGAGGAGAAAAGAAAAACAAAAACAATGAGAGAAAGATAATAGAGAATAGTATGGGCAATCCCGAGTGATTCCCCCTTTCGGTGGGATTCGAGAGGCTGGGTTCGTCATTATCTAATGGAATTTAGTCCTATATACGTCTAGCTACGCGTATCGGTATAGACACCAAGTCCCAAAAAAATGACTCCGCAGAGATCATCCTCAAGTGGCTTCGTCCTATGCGATGTACAAAGTAGATCCCCATATAGTGGTTGGTAAAACAATGGGGTGGCTCTTGGGACTAGTCACTGACTAGGGGGCGGGGCGGACGGGTGGGTCCACGGGTAAGCGCATGAAAAAAACAGACAAAGAAACAAAAAAATAAAAACAAAAAACAAAAAACAAAAACCACAAAACAATATATCGGTTTAAGATATGAGAATCTGTTTCGTATCCGCCAGGGAAACAGAATTCAGGGCTCTTACCTTGAACCCCGAAAATAGGGGGACTCCCGACTGTAAATTCTGACCTCTCCCTCAGTCTGGTTATTACCCTGTATATGTGTGTGTGTGTGTGTGTGTGTGTGTGTGTGTGTGTGTGTGTGTGTGTATGTGTGAGTGAGTGTGTGTGTGTGAGAGAGAGAGAGAGAGAGAGAGAGAAATCAGGCGCGGCGCCACTTTATCAAAACGCCTCGATCGATAAGGCACCACGTTCCCGGCGCACATAGGGAGACTATCACTTTGTGAACGCATAGGGAACGGGAGCGGCCGCCGCTGCTTTTGGCCTGTTTCGATTTCGACCACAACAGGCTTCGAATTCAAACCACCACTCTACCCGACGTTGGAAATTCGGGGGACCGGTAGCACAGGTCCATGAGGGCTACCAGTAGCACAGAGTGGAGAACCGGCGGAGTGGTGAATATGGAAAATGGGATGAATTTGCGCTATAAGCTATTTCGTCGTTGAGACAATTTTTTTTATTTTTTTAAACATTTTTCCTGAAAAGATCATCACCAAATCTACAGAACCCTCATACTTTCAGACTTGTTTACGAGTTCTTCTGAGCGTGAAAAATCTTTGAAATAGGGGTACTTTTCCCGTTGGCCCACAAGTTGTCGTGTACCAAAAATGGAAAAAGTGACGAATTGGCGCGTCAATTATTTCATGGTCTAAACGATTTTATTTTATTTTGTTGATATTTTTTCTCGAAATATCACGACCTGCCCTACCTGATATCAAATTTGCAGATCTTTTCTCCAATTATTCTGCGTACGAAAAATCGCCAAAGTTGGCGCTCGAAAATTGCAAGATTGGACCCGCCTGCGCCTTCCAGTCGAGAGGGAACGGGTGCGACCTTGAGGGAACGGGTGCACCCGACACCGTTTCGATTTTTCGACCAAAGGGCCTGCGTCCACAACGTTTCAGATTCGAAAATCAAGGCCCTAATGCCACGGGCAGCTACCGGTCCTGCACTTGCTTGAACTGCCGCGTCCCCCTAAACGTCTGTGCCTTTCATTTTACCAGTCTTTCAACGACCAATGGGCCCGAATAAACGACTGGTATAACTAAGGAAAAGAACGACGACAAAAAAATGTCTCAGGGGCATAAAACGCACCCCTGACGGGCTGCGAACACAACCTCTTTTTTATGTTGGCCATAACGTTTTGGTTTAGCTATAATAATTGTCTACCATTGTGGTTTTCCGCTCGCAGGTTTGTCGTCTTTGAAGCTTCTTGATAAGCGAGGGACCCAGAATCACTCTCTATGAATCATCCAATCGGGGAAGTTGGCAGTTCCTTGCCCAGGTTTTGATAAACCAAAATGCACCCTGTCAACAAGAATCGTGTATCGTATATGTTTCCGAATTTATACATGTAGTTAACCCTTGCCTATGAGTAGTTCCTTTAAGAGTGCGTCATTCCGAGCTTTCCAGATCGCATTCATGATGATACATCTTGATCGATTTACCCCCACCCTGATGTTCGTTCAAGGGAAGGCTTCAACTAAGAAGGCTTCCCAGTTTTTCCTCCACTAGTGCCAAATTACGACACAAAAAGGGCAGTGTATCCATACATGGGGCGATGTTTCCCATGCCTAGTAACATCGAGGGCAAGCGCCAAAAACATTCATTTGCCTAGTAACAAATATAGGGTTTGCATCCAAAGGAAACTGACGATCCTCTGTTCTAGGAGTTTCTTTAGTTCATGTTGTTTCCCATCCATTCTCTAGGGATCGTTGTTAAAATTTTTGTATAGTTGTTGGGCACGTTTTTTAGTCTTGTTAACTTAAACTTTAGGACATCAATAAAAATTCATCTCATCCATATATCGTTTAGCTGAATTACTCCTCTAGAGATCCAAGCCTCACCGAAGTTTCCTGTTGTGTCTTCTGTGGAAAAAAATTATGATATTCCTTGACTATCAGAGGATTATCAAAAAGTGGTGGAGAAGGATTTCTGCTTTTGTAATGGGTTGTAATCGGACGTTAGGAATGACTTTAATTCATGCAAAAAAATAGGTTTTTCCACAGTCTACATTCAAATTTGGGTATTTTTCTTACATAGGTGGGGATCTTCTGACATCTCCATACATCTGTTGGGACTGCTAGGTCTCATTCTACAGCTACAATGTATTCCTCCACTTGCTTCTATATTTTTTTTTTGGGGGTCTAACATTTCCTTACCTGACCATCTAGCTAACAATGCTTTATCATGCAGTCTGGATCTAGGATGTTCAATCCTCCTTGATCTCTACTTGTTGTGATCAATTCTCACGCTATTTTGGTCATGAATACACGATCCTCTGAGTCGTTTTCTTCGAGTTTCCATAAGTATCTGGCAGCAGCTTTGCGTGTAACCTTGTATGCCCCCTCGCCCAAAAGGTAGACAGTACAACGAAACCAGAGAATTGTGAATGTTGTTGAAGACAGGGT